TACACGGCATTTTCTGAGAGCGGGTCTTTTTTCTTTTTTTAAGTCCCCCTGAATATTTCGAGGATATCTCAGCGAGGAAAGGGTTTGGAGAGCCAGGGAAGTGATATTCGTGCTCGTCGTTGGATTCACTATCGAATGGTGTATCAAACAGGCACTTCTATTTTTTACTGTAACCTTGCATGCCGTGCATCTTAACTCCGTCAATAGATGTCTGAAAGGCGTTTACGTTTTGTAAATCTAATTTTCAAGAAACTATTGTTTAAAGATCTTCTAGTTTTTTAAAGGTTATGTACACAAACTAAAAGAAGTGTATATTTACATACGTTTGTTTATAATTGAGGTTCGTTTCAATTAATTTTTGATGTAACCATTGATGATATGACTGACCGGGCCATCTAATCAATCTCGTTGACTCATTATGTTTATAATAAATACCATCTGTGTTTATCCACGTAACTGAATTTATTTTAATTAAACAAAATGGTGATTGGTCAACATATCGTTGAAGAATGTAAAAGTTTAATTCTTTTGTATTTAGTTTAAATAAAACAATATAATTATCAAGAATAAATAGTTGTTGTGATTCATGTATGTTAGATGAATGATAAAATAATAATTCTTCAAATGATTTTAAATGATCTACTGATAATAAATGAAAATATTCGAGAACATCATGATGTAGATTAATCTTAAATTTTATTATTTGTAAAGTAAAGAGATAACTACATAAATAGAATAATGATATTAAAAGTAACCATAAGATTATAGAACAGCCAAATAATATTAAATAAAATAAAACTTCTGTTAAATAAGGTTCTGATGAATTTAAAACAATATCATCCGCATAATATGTATAACTTGATGATGAATATAAATAACCTATATAAATACCACATTTTGTTATAACTAATTCGTTAAATTCAAATGAATTATTTAAATATTTTTCATTAATAAATTTTATATAATCTGATTTTTCTAACCAAGATTGATATTCATATGAATTTAAATTTTTTACAATACAACGTAAAGTTTTAATAGAAAATTTATGAAATTTATATGGTATTTTTTTATTAAAATAAAAATTATGTTTAGCTGGTAATCGAACATATAAATTATTTGGATAAAGTGTTGATTTAATTTTTATTTGTTTAACCATTTTATAGGATGAAATCAATTTGTTAAAATAATATTGTTCTCGATAGTTTCTGTTTTCCAATTGATTTTCTCCTAATTCAATTTGAATTAAATCTTCACGAAATAATGAATATGTCCATGAATAATTTCTAGTTTTATAAAGTTTTAAATATTCTTGAAATTGTTCTATATTCATATGAAATGGACCAAATAAATAGTTGTATACAACTGTATGACATTTAAGGAGAATTGCTATTAAAATAGTTGTTATTAACATCATAAATAAATATTTAAAAGAATCATACCGATTTGATAATTGATGACGATGACGTTGGTAATTTATACGTTGAAATAATTGTTTTATAGACGAACTTTTAATGGTTTTATCTGGCATGTCGTTCTATAGATTGATTTCTACATGCAAAAAGAAAGTAAAGCAAATTAACAACTATTAAAGTAGAACCAAGGGCAACTGACTTTTTTCTAAGGCACACTAAATTCAAACTTCCTACAACGTTTTATTTTAGACTTAATGATACATCAATCGATAGAGCTTCACGAGCTGATCAAGAATATCTACGTTTTAACTTTAAAAAAATGAGTTTTTGAATGAAAAATCTTCAAAATACTAGAGAGGTCTAAAGTAGTACTTCACATAAGACTTGAAATCGGGGTCCACTAAATTATTATTATTTTAATGCCTCAATGTATCCATAACTCATAAAAGTTATCTTATTCGGTGCTTTCGACTTTATGGAATACGATCAGATCTGCTCGCACAGAAACATTCACGTTACATCATCAGTATTACGGTAAAACTAAAATTTCTCCGTAACTATCCAGTATTTGGCCTACTATAATATAACACTCGATGCGTCTCGAAAAGCTCTACAAGATATGTTAATACGAAAATTAATGAAGCGAGGCCCGTAGCCAGGATTTTGCTAAGGGAGATGTACTACAGATGTAAATCGATATACTGGTTTTCTTGCATTTTGTTTTTTGGTTGTACCGATTCTGATTCCAGTTTAGCCATCTGTGCGACAGCGATTGGTCCAGAAAACTAACAGGACGCAAACGGATTTTCACACCGGTTTGCACCAATGAAGCACGCGAAAAAAATGTAGATATCTCTTGCCACAACACATTAAAGAAACTTTTTAGGGATTCATAAAACATTCTCTTGTTCTCATTCACGCTGTTTGCTAGAGGCTGTCTCAAAAGAAAGTATGCTGTGCGCCTAAGTACATCCATTTTATCGAATTCGATAAAATTCGTCGTTTTTTAAAATGTTTTTGTCTGTCTTAAGATAGAGAAAACAACTGGTTAACTAAGTAAATGTGAGAGAAAAGTAGCTCTGCTCATGTACTGGTGAACTTGATAGGCCGCTTGTCTTTGTAAAAAATGTTGATAATATCTCCGCGTTTTAGTTCATTGCAACTCCCCCTGGTATTGCAATCCTCCTGGCTATGGGTCTGAATGAAGCCTGGCAGCAGCCGTTGTGAATTAAATACTACTTTTTTCCACAGGTCGCCACTATGCCACTTGAAATGTTGATCCTTTTCTCTATGAAACTAAAGATGATCGCTAACCATTCATTCGATGCGCTTTGAAAATGTCTACAAGATATGTTAAGAGACGAAGCCGATTTTTGTATTTCATTAGAACCGTCATTAAATGAGTTTTAAAAATACATTCTGCTTTTTTGAAAATTTCTCCCCATTACTGAGACATTTCACTTTTTCTAAATCAGAAGCAAAAAATCGGAATGGTGCTCGTAATTCTCAATTTTCTTCGACAGAACTCACTTTTTATGCAATAAAAGTATCATATTCGACGTCATCATCGAAAATCGAGTCGAATGGTGGTGTACCTTTTTACCCTATCCAACCACTTTTTGTTTTTTCAAGTTTTCACGTCAGAAAATTACTGAGATTTTCACCGATAAATGAAAACCTACCCAAAACTTTGAAATACACATCATTCGATTCGTTTGATCTTGATCCCAAATATGATACTTTTACCTCTTGATTTAGAAAAGGTGAAATTTCTCAGTAATGGAGAGAAATTTCAAGAAACGCAGAACGTACTTTTAAAGTTCATTTAATGGCGATTCTAATGAAATAGAAAGGTCGACTTCGTCTCTTCACATAAAAAGCTAGATGTATGATGAGTCTTATCTTTATTGCAGTTCAAGATAAAGACGAAACTTCTAATCTTGAAGTACTCAGAAATTCGTTCTTTCAAATGCTTTACCTTTTTCCACTATTTGTCATTTTCCTCTTTCTTTCATTTGTTGTCTTCTATTTACCTCTTATGGTGTTCTTATTACTGTTGCTGTTAATCGCACGCATGGAAGACACTATAATAAGATTTATCTTGATTGTGTTTTTCATTTGTTTTTATTATACCTTTTTCAAATAAATGCTTATAAAAATCGGAGGTATACCTCCGAAATGGATTGAATATTATTCTTTAATTCAGTTTTCAGCGCTGAATAAGAAAAAAGTAATTTGAGTGTTTCGGCCAAAAACCCAACTCGAAAAATCTAACTTTTTTGAACACTATTGTTTTTTCGAGTTTTCTCGATTTTTCGATATTAGAAAACCGTTTCGAAAAATTGAAAACTACATATTCTCAATCTGCTCAAAAAACTCTATCAAATGGTATATAATATAGTAGCGAAATATTTTGCTGTCAGTTTGCAATCTGCGCGCCTCATTTTAAAATAAAATATTCGGGTACCCGCTTTTTCGTATATTAGCCTAGAATATTTTGAATGTAACCACCCTGTAAAACCATAAAGTTAAACAGTCTGTCTGGATGTAAATCTCCAGTCTACTACTTTTACACTTATTATAACAATTATTAGTAATGTTGTATGCCGATTCTAACGTCCTACCTCTGTGACGATTCATTTTGTGATCAAAAATTACATTATTGTTAAAATTGATCATGCAACCTCAGTTATTTCCCGAGTGCTGAACTAATTCTTACTTTTCTGTATCGCTTAATTTGATCTTGCTAATATACTCTCTGATTCTAAAATTGCGCTTCGCAATTCAAAAATCGAGCGCTATCTCAGTGTTTGGTCGAAAGCCATATAGTCAAGTACTCCTGACTAGGCTGATTCCGAATATCACTTTTCTATTCAAATTTGATCAAGTTTTCGGGGAGAAATTCCCAAAATACTACAAGCACCGAGAAAACAAAAAATTTGCGTCACTCTGAGAAAACCTGAAAACTTTGAGTCACAAAAAACAAAATACCTGTGTTGCACAATTTAGACAAGAGTAAGCACTCGACAAAATGAGCTACCTCTCTCGCAAACCTATCTCCTCCATGGTTTTGAAACTTTTCTCCGATAGTCATACGCCAT